AAACCCCTAATCCACCTTCTCCTCTTCCCTCGAAGCCTTCTTCCCTTTCTTCCCCTCAACTGTCTGCTCCCCCTACTTGCCAACCTACCTCCCCCCAAAAAATTCCTTTACCCCTAATCTCTCCCTTCCCTTCACCACCTAGCCTGTATTTCAGTGCTCCATACCACTTTCTCCCCACCTCTCTCTCTCTTTAGCCCCCTTACCCCCACCCCCTCCCAGGGTAGGATGGATGACCTCAGCACAATCAGCCTTCTCTCCTTGGCCATGCTGATCGGTTGTTACGTGGCAGGCACCATCCCCTTGGCATTCAACTTCTCTGAGGTAAGCAGAGGGCCTGGCTGACCTCTCTCTGCATGCACCATTCACTGCCATTTAACCCACTCTTCTTTCAAAACAGACCTACGTGCTTTTAAAATTCTGCTTTACTGCCCCGTTTCTTTTAAAAAAAACAAGATTGACTTTAACTTGTTGATTATCTCTTTTATGTTTGGAAATATTATCCACCCAGTTTCAATATGACATATAGTTAACAAGAGTAGGATTTCATTGTTCCTTTATCAAACTGGTATTTTGTGGCAGTTCTGCCTTTACCTGCAACTAAGACTGGGCCACATCGAGTTTACTGGATTATAACCTGAGTGCCAGAAATCTGGTCAGAAGCTCTGTTAAATTCTCAGGAACTGTGGCCGAAGGAATCCACAAGCAAAAAGGCATAGTTTGCTTCTTGATCTGAAACCAGTTTGCAGCTTGTGTTCTGAGGTTACAGTTAAGTGTAAATGTTTGTCCTACTGACTCAATTTGCTCATACTTTACAGTATAATGAGGCACCTCCACATGTTTGTGTAATGCTATGTATGCAAGTGCCAAGGGCCTTCGAATCTATATATTTGTGACTGTGGGCTAAAGTTTGAAAGTTGAGTATTTCCATCTGGCATCAGAAATGAGGAGTGTTTGTATTTGAATTCTGTTCATTCACGTTTAACATTTGTCCAAATCAATCTTCAACTTGGCCTCCCTTTTTCACTTTCTGCTGCACTTTGCTGAAGTATCATAATTAAGTGTTGGTATAGATATGCCCATGTTCAGTGTCCTGAACTGCTGACTAGTGAGAGATAGTAGGAACTGCAGATGCTGGAGAATCCGAGACAACAAGGTGCAGGGCTGGATGAACACAGCAGGCCAAGCAGCATCATAGGAGCAGAGAGGCTGACGTTTCGGGCCTAGACCGTTCATCAGAAAAGGGGGAGGGGAAGGGGGTTTTGAAATAAATAGGGAGAGAGTGGGAGGCGGATAGAAGAGGGATAGAGGAGAGGATAGGTGGAGAGGAAACAAACAGGTCGAAGAGGCGGGGATGGAGCCAGGAAAGGTGAGTGTAGGTAGGGAGTTAGGAAGGGGATAGGTGTGAGATATGCTTCAAAGTGTGGACATTGATACCTGGCTTGTGATGCCTGAAACAATCAAATAATAGTGTGCTGGCTTCAGTGTTCAACTGTTTGGATGTAGGTCTAGCACCTGTGCCGTATTGACAGTTTTACCTGCTGGTAATGAGGTGACATTTTTTTTAGGTTGATTTGTTTTTTAGCGGACTGTTAAAATAACAGGAAAAAGCTGCGTAGTTTTTAGACCATCTGTGGAATTGCAGAGCCATAATCATTTACAATGTTTCAGAGCTAGTAGGAACTGCAGATGCTGGAGAATTTGAGATAACAAGATGTAGAGCTGGATGAACACAGCAGGCCAAGCAGCATCAGAGGAGTAGGAAGGCTGACGTTTCGGGCCTGGACCCTTCTTCAGAAATGGGGGAGGGGAAGGGGGTTCTGAAATAAATAGGGAGAGAGGGGGAGGCGGATAGAAGATGGATAGAGGAGAAGATAGGTGGAGAGGAGACAGGCGGGGATGGAGCCAGTAAAGGTGAGTAGGTGGGGAGGTAGGGAGGACGGACAGGTCAAGGGGGCGGGATGAGGTTAGTAGGTAGGAGATGGGGGTGGGGCTTGAGGTGGGAGGAGGGGATAGGTGGGAGGAAGGACAGGTTAGGGAGGCAGGAACGAGCTGGGCTGGTTTTGGGATGCGGTAGGGAGAAGGGAGATTTTGAAGCTTGTGAAGTCCACATTGAGACCATTGGGCCGCAGGGTTCCCAAGCGGAATATGAGTTGCTGTTCCTGCAACCTTCGGGTGGCATCGTTGTGGCACTGCAGGAGGCCCAGGATGGACATGTCGTCTGAGGAATGGGAGGGGGAGTTGAAATGGTTCACGACTGGGAGGTGCAGTTGTTTATTGCGAACCGAGTGTAGGTGTTCTGCAAAGCGGTCCCCAAGCCTCCGCTTGGTTTCCCTGATGTAGAGGAAGCCACAACGGGAGCAGCGGATGCAGTATACCACATTAGCAGATGTGCAGTGAACATCTGCTTGATGTGGAAAGTCTTCTTGGGGCCTGGGATGGGGGTGAGGGGGGAGGTGTAGGGGCAGGTGTAGCACTTCCTGCGGTTGGAGGGAAAAGTGCCAGGTGTGGTGGGGCCTGGAGGGGAGTATGGAGCAGACAAGGGAGTCACGGAGAGAGTGGTCCCTCTTGAAAGCAGATAAGGGTGGGGAGGGAAAAATGTCTTTGGTGGGGTCAGATTGTAGATGGCGGAAGTGTCGGAGGATGATGCATTGGATCCGGAGATTGGTCGGGTGGTACGTGAGGACGAGGGGGATTCTGTTTTCATTGTTATTGCGGGGAGGGGGTGTGAGGGATGAGTTGCGGGAGACACGGTCGAGGGCATTCTCGACCACGGGGTGGGGGGGGGCGGGGAGCAAGAGGAAGTTGTGGTCCTTGAAAAACGAGGACATCTGAGATGTATCGGAGTGGAATGCCTCATCCTGGGAGCAGATGTGGCGGAGGCGAAGGAATTGGGAATAGGGGATGGCATTTTTGCAGGAAGGTGGGTGGGAGGAGGTGTATTCTAGGTAGCTGTGGGAGTCGGTGGGTTTGAAATGGATATCGGTTTCTAGGTGGTTGCCAGAGATGGAGACAGGTCCAGGAAGGAAAGAGAGGTATTAGAGATGGTCCAGGTGAACTTAAGGTTGGGGTGGAAGGTGTTGGTGAAGTGGATGAACTATTCGATCTCCTCATGGGAGCACAAGGCGATGCCGATACAGTCATCAACGTAACGGAGGAAGAGGTGGGGTTTAGGGCCAGTGTAGGTATGGAAGAGGGATTGTTCCACGTAACCTACAAAGAGGCAGGCACAGCTTGGGCCCATGCGGGTACCCATTGCCACCCCCTTTGTCTGTAGGAAGTGGGAGGAATTGAAAGAGAAGTTGTTGAGGGTGAGGACGAGTTCGGCTAAGCGGATGAGGGTGTCAGTGGAGGTGGGCTGGTCGGGCCTGCGGGACAGGAAGAAGCGGAGGGCCTTTAGGCCATCTGTATGGGGAATGCAGGTGTATAGGGACTGGCCGTCCATGGTAAAGATGAGGTGTTGGGGACCGGGGAATTGGAAGTTCTGGAAGCTCCGCTCCAATCCCAACCTCCCCATAAAACCCGCAGACAAGGGAGGTGCAGTTGTAGTATGGAACACTGACCTCTACATTGCCGAGGCCAGGTGCCAACTCTCCAACACCACCTCCTACTGTCCCCTTGATCATGACCCCACCCCCGACCACCAAACCATCATGTCCCAAACCGTCCACAACCTCATCACCTCAGGTGACTTCCCACCCACAGCCTCCAACTTCATCGTTCCCCAAACGCGCACCGCCCGCTTCTATCTCCTTCCCAAAATCCACAAACCTGACTGCCCTGGTCGACCCATTGTCTCCGCCTCCTCCTGCCCCACCGAACTTATCTCCACCTATCTCGACTCCATTTTCACCCCTTGGTCCAGGAACTCCCTACCTACGTCCGTGACACCACCCACGCCCTCCACCTCCTCCAGAACTTCCAATTCCCCGGTCCCCAACACATCTTTACCATGGACATCCAGTCCCCATACACCTGCATTCCCCATACAGATGGCCTAAAGGCCCTCCGCTTCTTCCTGTCCCGCAGGCCCGACCAGCCCACCTCCACTGACACCCTCATCTGCTTAGCTGAACTCGAACTCACCCTCAACAACTTCTCTTTCAATTCCTCCCACTTCCTACAGACAAAGGAGGTGGCAATGGGTACCCGCATGGGCCCAAGCTGTGCCTGCCTCTTTGTAGGTTACGTGGAACAATCCCTCTTCCATATCTACACTGGCCCTAAACCCCATCTCTTCCTCCGTTACATTGATGACTGTATCTCTCCCTATTTATTTCAGAACCCCCTTCCCCTCCCCCATTTCTGAAGAAGGGTCTAGGCCCAAAACGTCAGCCTTCCTGCTCCTCTGATGCTGCTTGGCCTGCTGTGTTCATCCAGCTCTACACCTTGTTATCATTTACAATGTCTTTGGATAAGGAAAGTGAATGTATGGTTTTTGGATGACACAAAAATAGGTGGAAAGGCAAATGATGAGGAAGACTGAGTCTATAGAGATATATAGATAGGTTGTGAGTGGGTAAAAACCTGGAATATAATATGGGAAAATGTGTGGTTATGCAATTTTGCAGGAAGAACTGAGTATTATTTAAATGGAGAAAGACCATAGATGACTACAACATAGATTTTGGAGCCCTCGAGCATAAAGCTTAAAAAAACTAGCAAAAAAGTTCACGAAATAGGGAAGGTAAATGGAATGTTGACCATATTTCAAAGAGAATGGAGTATAAAGGTGTGAAAATATTGACAAAACTATGTAATGAACTAGTCAGACTACAGCTGGAATACTATAAACTAGTTTTGGCCTTTTATCTAAAGATACTGGCATTGAAGGTAATTTATAGAGAAGGTTTACTAGTCTAGAATCTTTAGTAAAACATGAAAAATTTCTACAGTCTGAAGAGACTGTTGGCTCGGGTTGGACCTGTACTCTCAGGAATTTAAATGATTTGAGAGATGACCTTGAACCATACACAATTCTTAGACTTGACAGGGTAGATTTGGAAAAGTTGTTTCCCCTCTGGGAGAGTTTAGGACCAGTGGCACAATCTCAAGGTGGTCACCTTTCCATAAGGGTTGAGGGAACATTTCCTCTGAGGGCAGTGAATCTGTGGAATTCTTTAATGCAGAATTCTGTAGAAGGTGGGTCATTAAGTATATTCAAAACTGAAATAGGCAGGCAGACTTTTAATCATTTAAGGGAATCGAGGGTTAGAGGGAAAAGCAGGAAAGTGGAGTTATGGTTTATCAGATCAGCCGTGATCTCATTGAATGACAGCATTGAATGACATTGATGAGCTGAATAGCCTACTTCTCCTTCATCT